TCATTTTCATCACTTTTATGGATTTTACGGTACAGTATCTGTATTTCTTCTTGCCTGGGCTTCATTTGAAAGACATATACTCGTATTTTATCGATGTTAACTTCTTAATACTCAACGAAAAATTTTTTACATACATTATTTTCCTTTAATAATTATTTCAATTTATCTAATTAGTTTTTATATTGGAATAATTTTTTTTCCATCGTGTATGAATATGTTTTATTCGAATTATTTAGTATGTGATTCATATCCATGTTATTAAGATATACCATGGATAAATACATGGAATTATTTATTAAATGAAATTTTATCTACTAATTTAGAAGTATTTTTTACTTTTTCATTAGTATTTCGAGTTATTTGTAGAAGATATTATTCATTGAGACACTTTAATTGGAGAGAAAATATCGAAAAATGATTATACAATTACTTGCAATATCGACTCTTTCATTATCTATTAACCTTCCTCAATCATTAATTTTACTTATACAACAAATTCATCCAACCTTGAGTAATTTTGGTATTGAAGCTGAACCATATTTTTTCTATCTTACTGACTATATTATTTTATTTTTACCATTTGTTTGTCTTGGACATTTGCCAGAATTATGGCCAAAAGTATTCTTTTTATGTCAAAGACGTCAACGTAGAGTCCGTCCTATCAGGACAATAGCTGCTGGTGGTGGAGCATAAGCTTTGATAAGAAGAAATGATAAGTAGCCTATTATTTATATGAATAGAAAAAAAAAACAAAGAGAAGACTTTGATTAATTGAAGTAAACTGGAATTGTTTTCGTTTTTTTTTATAGCTGTAAAATTTAATTCATCATAACAATAAATATTCATCAATCGTCAATGTAATTATTAGCAAATGTTAAAATTTGTATCAATAAACTTTGCATTATTGAAAATATTTTATTAAAAACCGTTTCTTTCTCATAATAGACATAGTACACAAAAAAAGCGATAGATTTTGCTTCGAAACTTATGTTTTATTTCAAATTGATATTCTTTCTATTGTACATGTTAATCTCATAATGACACTGATGAAAGTTTATTCAAATAAATTTCTTTTTTTTCTAAAAAAAATGCTCTAGATCTATTTTTTTTTCAAGAATAAATTTATTATATACTGATGTTCGAATAAATTCATTGGAAAGAGTAGTAGAAATTAATGAATATATGATTGAGTAAATAACTGCTACGAAATACATTAGAATTTTTTTTGTCAGAATTCGCAATTTATTTATTTCAAGCTTACGATGAGTACTCTCACCAAAGATGTTAGTGAGTGAATTATTTTTGACCCAACCCGCAAACTCGACCCGGGCTGCCCGCGGGTTAAACAAACTTAAATTGCGCTAGTATTTATAAAAAAATTCACAAGTTTAGTAAATCGATACATTCGTTTTATTAAAACAAATATTTTGACCATTAAAATATTATCTTTTGTTTCTGAGTACATCATCCATAAGAATTACAAAATTTGAAGTTCAGCTCAGGGAGATAAAGAGTCCACTGAAAGTAATAGCATATGCTCATGTTCACAATGCAAAAAAATTGACAGCTCCTATTATGATGATGATAATAATGGCTGTTCAAAAAAAATTGAGAATTATATAGACTAGATATCATTCATTCTTGTTTTGTAAAATGGTCGAACTAATAACAAGTCTTTTAATAAGCTTGGTTTTGTACGTGATTTGCGAGCACAATAAACAGGAACAACTTGAGAAAATTGTCTTTCGACAGTAACTGAACTCGTTAGAAAAGTTTGACTGAGATATTGACTACAAGCTATAATAAAAACTGATACACGTACGAAAAGGTAGATTCTTTTGTTGCGTCACACTACTCGCAAAAAACCAAAAAGACAAAACGAGCGGGAAAAATATTAAGAAAAGATGAAGCGAACAGGAAAAATGTAAAGATGCAAAAAAAAAACGATCGAACTTAGTATTTTGTGCAAGCAAGTTTCGAAAGAGAAACGCATACATGTATCTGTGTGCTTCAAAACAATTAGGTGAACAACTAGAATCAAGATATAGTCAATACAAATGATAGAAAGAATTTTGATGTTAAAGTAAGAGTTAGAAACGAAATGAATGCGTGTATAAATCTATGTAGAAAGAAAAATTTAACAGGAAAAGCAATGCTCATAAACAGGTTGAACCCGTGGGTTCACATGAAAATACAATCCGTTAAACCGTGACCCGTCAGAGGTCCAACCCGGCCCGCAAGTTACGGGTCGGGCGGGTTGAAGCAAAACGGGCTAACCCGTCAACATCTCTGACTCTCACTATCGTTAGGAAATAGTAATAATAATAGAGAGAAGTATTACATATATACGACCGGAAAAAAAGCTGCAATCCGTATTTCAGCTAAATCCTTACCATAAAAACGTATTTTAAAAAAAACTAATTACATATTTTGAAACCCCATGAAGTTTTTTATCACCGTGTATAATTAGGTTTTAGTTTGTATTTATGTATTACCAAAATAAATTAAGCGCAATGAAGATAAATTCAATCGACAAGTGCGAAAAATTCATATTTTTCTTTTCACTTTCTACGTCAAATTATATGTACAAAGGAAATAAGTTTTTCCAATAGTAATTATGCATTCCGATAGAACTTCAAATTCTCTATCATCCTGTATGTTTTAGTCTTACCTTACATTTATATACTGAAGAATAATTTGAGTATTTTGTAGAGGTGCTCCTTGACAAACTATAGAAGAAGACTAGATTTTTTAGGTATCTATTTTATTTTTTGTTTCAGAAGTTCAGAATGATTGAGAAGGTTAGTTATTATCAGAAGATATAATTACTTCTTTCAAAATTTATATCTGGAGTAATAATAAAAGTGATAATAAAGTGGAAATAAAAGTATAGTGACAGAAGAAAATCCAGTTTTTTAGGGTTCATGAAGAAAGATGTTTAAATACTACTTCAATTATTTTTCAGTATATAAATATAAGATAAGATTAAAATATACAGGATGTTTGAGAATTCGAAGTTTTCTCAGAATACATAATTACTTTTGGAAATACTTATTTTCTTTGTACCTATAATTGGCCGTAGAAAGTGAAAAAAAAAAGTAACGAAAAATATGGATTTTTCGCGCTTGTCGATTGAGGTTGTCTTCATTGTATTCAAGCTATTTTGGTAATATATAAGTGCAAACTAATTTCATATAAGACAGTCATCAGTAGTTGATATTTTAAATGAGTAGTTTAGCGATGAGAGTGATAATTTGCCTCGAATATGGTTAGATTTTTTAACTGATAATAGAAAGAAAGTAAATCGAGGTATCCTATGGTTGGCTATGCTCATATATGCAACAAGATAAAAGGCAAAAAGAACAAAGACATGTAATTAGATAAAGATATATATATCTTTATCTAATTACATGTCTTTGTTCTTTTTGCCTTTTATCTTGTTGTATATATATATATGTCATACTTCTCTCTATTATTATTACTATTTCCCGATGATGATGAGAATACTTACTGGAAGCTTGAAATAAATAAACTGTGAACTTTGACAAAAAAAAATTCTAATGTATTTTATAGCAGTTATTTACTCAATCATATATACCCCTGGAAAGCAAAAGTTAGCAACTATATTTGACCTCTTTTAGCACTCTAAAAGAACATTTCAAAAAAAGTAATTATACCATTTGATAGCGCATGAAATTCTCTACCAGCCTCTGTATTTGTATTTTAGTTTATGTTTGAACATTATGAAAATAATTTTAGTATAATGAAGGTACCTCCATGTCCACATTCCCAATGACGGACTTTCTAGTTTTTTATATTTTTCATTACTATAGAAACACCTTTTTTTTTAAAGTAATTATATATTCTGATAGAGCTTGAAATTCTCTATCATCCCACATATTTATGAGTCACTTTGCATTTATCTGTTAAGAAATAATTTTAATATAATGAAAACATCTTCAATTGACAAGTATTGAAAAATCCGCATATTTTAGCTTTTTTTAAATATTTTTACTACATTATTTTTCATACAGAATAAATTTTCACAAAAGCAATTATACATTGTTATAGCTCTTGAAAGTCTCTATCAGCCTATATAAAAATGTGTTGGCTTGAATATAAGTAGCAGAAGAAACCAGTGTGTTTTCGAAATTGTCATTTGAAATTTCTTTAAGTGTATTCAGATTGTTTCTTAATATACAAATGCAAAGTAACACAGAAGTATATGGGATGATAGAGAATTTCAAGCTCTATCAGAATGTATAATTACGATTTTAAAAAGTTAATTTTATAGTAATAAAAAAGTTAAAAAACTATTGCCTATGTCAGTGACAACATCTAATCTTTGAGAATGTGGACATGGAGGCACCTTCACCATATTCAAATTATTTTCATAATGTTCAAACATAAACTAAAATACAAATACAGAGGCTGGTAGAGAATTTCATGCGCTATCAAATGGTATAATTACTTTTTTTGAAATGTTCTTTTAGAGTGCCAAAAGATATCAAATATAGTGGCTAAATTTCGCTTTCCAGGAGTATACTCATGAAGGTCAAATAGTTTTTAATTCATATGATCATTTTGCAGAAATATTCTCGTCTCATTTTTAATCAATGTATTTCCTATAAGACAATATTCACTTTTCACAACCAAAGAATGTCAACAAACGAAACTACTACCATCAATACTCTTTCACCATCCTATTCATTCAGATTTATTGTCCTAGTAATACTGCAAGTTCCTTCTATTCTAATCTCATTGCTTATCTTCACTTATTTTATTCTCAACCGAATGGCTCGCGCAAAAGATCATAATCATGCCGTATTAGTACTACTATCGATTAATTTTCTACAAGTTATCATTGATCTACCTATGCCAATGAGTTTCTATTATTTGAATGGAATTGTTCGACCAGCTACTTCTGCTTATTGTGTTTGGTGGGTATGGTGTGAATATTCAATTAACAATATCCATGCTTTTCTCATGGCATGGATATCGATCGAACGTCATCTACTCATCTTTCATTCTCATCTGATTCGAACAGTAGGCTCTTGGAAGAGATGGTCACTTCATACTGTCCCATTGATTGCTTGTTTGGTATGGGGACCATTGTTCTTCATCATCATGGTTATTATCACTCCCATGTGTGTCAATTCATGGATTTTCAATAGTTTTATGTGCAGTGTACCATGTTACTTGACGACATATTGGGGTGTATTTGATCTTCTTTTCAATGTAATCTTTCCAGTTTGTACCATTGTTATCGCCAATCTAGCTCTTATTGCACGTGTTATTTATCAAAAATCAATTGTCGTTCGTCGTACTCGTATCGATTGGCGTCGTCAACGAAAAATGACTCTACAATTGGGTATTATTTCTACACTCTATCTTGTGATTTGGCTTCCAGTAGGTATTGGATTACTCGGTCAAATCTACATAAGTTCAACTTTTTTTCTTGATCAAATTGATATCTTCAGTTTTCTAACTTATCTTGTACCTCTTTTGTTACCATTCGTTTGTTTGATATCAATGCCTGGACTTATGAAAAAATTGAAAGCAATATTGCTTCGACGACAAATTATGGCTGTTGCACCTGTTAGATTTAAACTCAACCAATATTAAAACACAAATAATATACTGAATATTTCAACCAGACGAGAAATATAACAAACAGTACCTTGCATACTGTCGTTCATCACAACATAAGATATCAATAAACTTCGAATTTTATTCTTCTAATATTTGCTTGTAATCTCTTGGATGAAATGTAAAAAAGAGAAGAATATGTTCACAATTGTATAATACTACTTTAGGTTATTTCAGACTATATGAGCATACGATAGTACTCCTACTTGAGGGTGTGGGTATGAGTGTAGGTGTGGATGTAGGTGTTGGTGTTTTTCTCCATCGACACCCACACCATTTTCTCTTAATGAAACAAGGAATAAAATGAAGAATTTAATATCGATTGTGACCGTCTACAAATTCATAATTTATCTGACCTTTTCTGCATCCATTCTAGCAACGATTATTTTGTTACAAAATCATCAGTTTCTTTTACATAAATTTAGTTCACGATTTTTTGACTAATACCCAATGAAGAAGCAGCTTATTTAAATCAGCTGAAAGTCAAAATTAAATCACATAAATCATTTAAAATTAGCAATTCTAATTCAAAAACGGCTTTTCACAACTTCACAATGTCATGTTGTTTAAAAGTTGTAAGTGAAAAAGATAAATTTTCCACCATCCTTAGTCCTCCAATATATGGAGTTAGTTTGATTTTCGGTCGAAGTTCTCTTGTATATATTTTGTTTTGGATCTAAGCTTTTGTTCAATGGTGAATTTGAACTTCAATCAAATTTTTTATAAACTCATTGTGTCTAATACAAATGATTCGGATGCGTTGTATACAATGATATTTTACATGTGATTGGAATTATTTATGCTAAAAAACTGACATAGCTTCAATATTACTAATTAGTCTCATTAACATGAGACTAATTAGAGCAGCATATATGTCACTCAGTTTTTATTTAGAAGTGTTTCTTGAGAATAAATATAGGTAAAAATGATCAATATTTGTAATTGTAAAGTTTATCATTTATACATAGTTGGATGACAACAGTTAGAGCACATTAAAAAAGAATGATACAAAAGAGAAAAATTACTGTCTTCTCTCACTCTCGTTTATTAATCATTCTAGTGATGAAGTTTAAGAATCTATGTATAGTGGTCATATGAAATTGCGCAATTAAACAACGTCATCAATAACGATTCAAATTTGAAAAACACATTATATGACTCATTTGATGACGACACTCAAATCGATATTAAAAGAAAAACATCGATATGACGTCAAAACATACACGTAGGAGTCCTGTATTTATATAATCATTCACAGGAAAGAAAAATCCCAATCGTAATACGAGAAATGTCTGTGTTAAGAGCATTAGTTGTTTCTTTCAACCATACTCTAATTAAAGTAAGTTATAATTTTATACATGATTATATTGTTTTATAATAATATTATAGAAAATCGACGAAAACTATGAACAATCAATAATAATACCGGTTAATTATAATAGTAATCAATCATTTTCTCCTTCATTGTTCGATGATAATCAACTATTACCAGGACAATCTCGAATTGACTACAAAATTCATCAAGGTTTTACATTGAATGAAGAAATACTCATTAAAAATGCATTAGAAATCATTGCTAATCGATTATTCAAACCAGAAATCTTACAAAACATGTATAATATTTGTGGTACATCAGGTGAATTACTCGGAGCAAGAGTATGGTCTCGTTCACAACTAGGAAATGACAAAAACTATCATGGTATGTATGATTTATTACGTTTTCAATTGATGTGTCTCAAAATAAAAAGTGAAAATGATCAATGTCCCACTATTCATATATATCCAATGTATGAAAAAAATGAAACACAAGCTGAAGGAACTGTTGGATGTATTTCATGTATTTCACATGGATCAACATTTTCAATTGAAGGAAATTTTCAAGTTAAATTAAATCGATATAATCTTGATGCATTGAATAAAAACGTTGAGAATTTAGTATATTGGGCGGGAACTATTGTACATGAAATGCTTCATAATTTAGGTCATAAACATAAAAATAATGATTATAGTAATCAATGGCAAATTAATATATTTGAAAATTGTTTTATTTATAATGGAAATTATTCAATTTGACAATCAATGGATTTTATTTTAAAAGTAATAAAAGAAATAACCGAGATTTTTAATCATTTCAAATATTTTCGTTTTATTATAAAAAAATCAGTTGAAATTAATTGCAATTTTGTTTTTTTACATTCATCTACATTTTTTCAAGTAAATAAGGGACAAAGATCTATATAACCTCCAGTCATATCATGAACATACACTGAAAAAATCTTTAAATTTTTGAAATTTTTTATTATATCTATGACAATATATGAACAGTATTCGAAACTCTACTAGCTGCCATTCAAACAATATTTATATGTTGAATATTTGACAAAATAAGTGTAGAGAACATAGATAGTCAATAGGGTAATGAGATGAATACACCAAAAATATCTCAAAATACCTCACCTCATCATCGTACATAGGTATAATATGGAGTATATTGTTTCATTTACCTACATGTATTGTTTGCTTGCGATCTTAATATCATCGAGTGCATCGCTATTATAACACCAATCCTATAAGTAAAGTTCTATATATTTTTCAAAAGATCTTAAATACTTCTTTGAATTTTGTTGAGTACTCATTGGGCTTGTGAACTGGCTTCATTTACTATTATATAGACGGATATAGAATGTCAGTCTCTTTGTAATGATGAAACTTGCAGGTCGATAGTTGTTTCCGTTAGAGAGTTATTCAAAAAGCAACGATCGTCCTTTTAATAGAAGCCATTAAAACAGTCCTGCTGGCCATGAGTGGAGATTTGTCAATTTACAACATTTATACAATTTTGAAACGAAATCTGATACTTGTAGCTGTCTCTATCATCACACTTCTTTTCATATTTTATGTCACTGTGTATTGAAAGGCGTTCCCAATGGATGTCCACTTGTAAATTTAGAATTGATGACCTAGGGTGTGGGTGGGTGTGAGTTTCATTCTTCTCTTTTCATACCCAGGCACACACCCACACCTACACCCTAGGGATTTTTTTTCTGTAGATTCATTAAGCAATCTAAAGTTCCCATTTCTGCTAAAATAAGACCATCGAAAACAAGACAGCTTTATTGGCTTCTTTCGAAGGGAAAACAACTAAGACTTCGGTTGCGAAGTCCCACGAAATCTTGAAGTCTGCTGTTTTCCCCTCGGTTTCTTTGTGAATTTTTTATGAATTAACTGTATTTCAAAGGTTTTAAATTTCATGAGACTTCATGGAACTTTAAAAGACTTCAGAAGACTTCTAAAGAATCCACGAGACTTCGAAAGACTTCACCAGACTTCATGATCAAAGGTTCTGCTATTTCTTCCCAGAGTCACAGTAGTCAATGTTAATATCTAGTGTATTTGTAAATGTTAAATTTGTGTATCATTAGGTGTTGAGGAAAAATTAGTTTTGGATAATCGACATGTTTAGATCAGATTTACTATTTAGGATTTTTTTAATCCAATTTTTAACTGTAAAAACAGAAAAATAGGTAAAGCATAAAAAGTACATTCCTTTGACTCGTATCAGGTTTCACCTAACAGCCTAAACAAGTTACAATCGAATAAAAAATAACCACTTTCATTTTATTCTTTCTAATACATAAAAGATCATGGCTTCAAAATTGCGGATTTGTAGACCGCTGTGTATAATAAAGAAATCATTACCATATAAATAATTCATACTTTAATAAGAGACCTATTTTTAACTGAAGTGACACTGAAATTTCCTATCTCCACGAGTTCCAAATAGAGTAAACGATCTTTCTACATTAGCAGACCAGTGAATTCTGGAGGACACATCTGCTATGATCTATGTTGATAACACGAGATCATGCTATTACTATTATATATTTTCATCGTGTTGAGATAAGAAAAATAAATGTATGTTTTGGTCTTACTACTGATGAGTGCTTATATTTTAGTAAATAACACGAACGCGTTGGCGAAATAAAACTCTGAATTTTTTTTAATTGTTATTGATACAAAGTGCTTATTCGAACAAGAAATTAATCTATATTCGACCAAATCGATCTTTGAAAGGCCATAGTTGAGGCTAGCAGATTGATTTATATTTCAGATACACAAGTCAGTCTGTTTTTCGATCGATTTACAATTTATTGTTGAAACTCAGTCTTTGAATGGACATAGTGACGACTAAATCCATATCTTCATGTTTTAATGATAGATCTGGAAATTCTTAAGGATGACGGGGTCTCGATGATTCATGTCTTTTTCAAAAATGACCTTCTGGGACAAAAAAAAACAAAAACTCTGCTATAAAGTTATCTAGTGCAAATTGTACTCAGAAATCACCACTGTTTCACGGCCATTGACCCATTTTCTACAAGATAGTTATGCAGTGGTTTTTGAAGAATAAAAGTTGCTCGTTATTTAATCTATTCGCATCACGAACACAGCTAGTGACTTTACAGATGTTTTTTCACAATACTGAGTGTATCCACCAGCCAAGTGTTTGGACTTCGAGCAACAACAAACATAAGATAATACTCATCGTGCCTATCTTTTCTTTTCTTCAAGCAATAAAAGAAGAAGAGAAAGAGTAGTTACTTTCATTTTCTATCTTTCATTAAGCAAGTATAAAAGGTAAGTCTATTCTAATAAAACATATAAAAGTGGGACTATGGCTGTCTGCTCTTGGGAAATTAACCCTTCTCCACATGAGAAATCGAAAAACCACGATCTTTCATTCTTAAGAGTGTATGCGTCAGAGTACCGACCAAGCCATTCAATACTAATCTTTTATTTTCGATTTAAATATCTGAAAAAAAGACCATTATCTGAAATCACTAAATCAAAAGTTTCAGCTCTTTTCGACTTGGTTATGAAACACGTGACCAGTTACATTGTGTCGTGCTCGAGTTGATCCTTAAAAAGATTGCGTTCTTTTTGTTTTTCACAGTTGTATCATGTTTTTCGATTGTCTCTACAACAACTTAATCGTTTAAGTTATGTAAGATCTCAAAAGATAGAGTCAAGTTCATTCTACAAAATATGACTATTTCTTGTGTCCTCAATCATCCTCTCAGATTGACAAGAGCCATGATAATGATGTGTTATGATGACATTTGACGTAGTCATCAATTAGTATCGTCGACTTTGCCTATCACCACCCTTCTATCCCAAAGATTCATGTATATTCTTAAAGCTCGTCAAAAACTGCATCGTTTGATATATTTTTAAGAGGGAAAAAACTTGCAAGAGGAGCTACTATGGGCCAAACTTCCTCAACTATCCGAATTCACAAGACTTTTTCTGCTCTTTTCGACTCGTATTCATCTTATAGTTCTGCTCAAACTAAAATACGGCAATTTCTTCATGCTCACCATGAAAATTCATCAAGGGGGAAAACTGTATTCGGACATCCGCAGCTATTCCCAATCATTCCGAGCCGAGCGGATATGTCCAGTGTCTGTCTGCTACCAGGTCAAAGGTCAAGCACAAGGCGGAAAACTACTCAGACATTTCAGTTCATTCGCATCCATTCGAATGGCTCCGAATGAGAGTTTTCTTCCCTTGAGCTTCAAGCTGCATGCTCCATGATGGCACTTCTGTGTTATACAATCCACTTCTCATGTCGATTCTTAATGCCTATGAGAGAACTGTTTTGCGAATCTGAGTCTGTAGTTCCGTAGAGCCGACCAAGGACTATAAGATTGGCTATGTGAATTCAATTTTGAATAAGTACAAATATCAAAAGCGGTTCTTGTTCTGGGAAGCATCATCAATTCATGAATACCAAAAGTATTATCTAATATGCATATCTGTTCTGAATCTCATCTGATACCTGTCAAAATTTTATCACAACCACAGTTTTACATGCTCTTTCTACAAGAAGCTTCAAAATTTCAAAATACTATAATGAGCTCGGTCGGGTTTTCTAGAGATTATATGAGAAATGTAAGGTTTTGGAGAAACACATTTTCGATACTGCACATCAGAGATAATGGCTCATGCGAAATTGTATATATGCTACAATTTTCAGCTTTTAGTGACGCCTCCTTAACGTGATAGAGAGGTGTCAAATAACCATCACTAATCGACCTAGCAGTCATTCTACGTAAACCTGAAAGAGATGTCCAATCGATATCTCAGATTTTGCTCATTTTGATGGACGTTGTTAGGACCGAATTTAGATAATTTTTGAAGCAAACCGATTGAAAAAAATATTGAACCTTTGATTTTATATGAAACTTTTACTGAAAGCCTAATTTTATGTTACCATCATTAGAGACTCTTTTGGAAACATGAGAACATTCAAAGATTCTCTCACTATTCTCGTACAAAAACAAATGCAGAATTTTTGAACCCATATTGAGCAAGAGCACAAAATTCTGGTCTTAATCCATAGCTTTACACTCAGCTAGAATACTTTCAAGGAGAGTAAAAATAAAGAAAATATTTTTCAGAAACTTTGGCCCAATTGTTCATTTTTTTAGAGAATAAAAAATTGTAAATGCTACTAAAGTCTACTGACGAACATGGATGTAGAAATTATTGTACGCGTACATTTCTTCCTTTCTTCTTTTATTACAGTTTTTCTTTATCCTTGTAATAACTCAAGACTTGAACAAGTTTTGATAAGCCAATCAAACTTCCAAAATGATGAGAGTCCATTCTCTCAGATATTTTTGAGATAGACAAAAAACATGTCACATCAATGAAGCATTCTGGAAGAATAGTATTAATGAAAATGTTCTTTATTACACTTGTCTCTAGAGATAATACATTTTTCTCTTAAGAGAACAGTCGCACATTGAGTTAATTCTCGGATGGTTTTTGTGAGTCAGGCTGGATCCACATAATACCATTTTTCGTTTCCTCTTATGTTAATACGTATCTTTTTACAAGGGATTTCTTTTCTAATCCTTAGAGCTGCTTGGAAAAGGATACGTATTAACGTAGCAGGAAATGAAAAATGGTATTATGTAGGTCCACCCAGACCCACAAAAACCATTTGAGGGTTAAAAGATGATTTAAAAGAGAGATGGTTGAAATATTAGTTTTCTCATTAGAGATACCACAAATTATTTTGATTTTAACATCATGTATTGTTTATGTCTACTGGTATCTGTACTCAAATTTTAGCATATAGTAGTAAAAAGAGCTTGAAGATGTTATATGAAACATTTCATTTTGGTACAAACTGAAGAAAAGATAGCAAATGGTTTTACTAAAATATCTTTAAACTCTTTGCGTTTATATATCTGGAACTTAAGTATAAATTGTAGTTAGCTAAGAGTCAGAGTCAATTACAGGTTGATTATTACATGATCATCGTGGAAGGGAAGTCCCATGACAAATATGTAGATTGTACTAGTCGTTGGATACAATTAATGAGAAAAAAAGCATCTCGTATCTTCAGAACGGCTTTCAGAGTCGGATTAGAAAATTTCATTGAGAGCAGTAAGAGTACGGTGCGAGTCCAAGTTTGGGTACAAAACATCTTGGACTTGATGGGCTCTAGTTATGATGTTCTTTGTAGCAGTTTTAGAAATAGAAAAGAAAATGGTCGGATTATGGTAAAGTAAAGGTTCTGATTCGATTGGTTGATTTTTTCTATATGAAGTGAGCCATATTTCTTTAGCTGGCATGTTTGACTGTCTTCCTACGACCACCAAGATTTATCAAAAAGAAAACAGATGTTCATTCTTAGTTTTGTAATACCATTGATATCGAAATCAGTAAAGAACGCATGTGTTGTTTGCGATCATTTATTCTCCAGTCTTCAAATGTATTAGAGACCAATTATATAATGATGACTAGGACCCATCGGATGCACTTTTATAAAGTAAAAGTACGATAGTAGAATCTTTTCTATTATCCAAAAATCCCTCGAACAATTTATTCGTTTCTCATAGAGACTGTATTTTTAAGAAGTGTAGTTGTTAATATTTGTCTTCGTTTTATTTAGAAAAGTGGTAATAAAATAATGTACAAAGCTCTTACTATCCTTATTCTTGTTATGGTTGGGGTTGCATGTGCCTCACATTCATATAATACTCGTCCAAAAAAATTTCAACGTCTTAGTTCAAGTTTAAATCATAAAAAAGTCGGCATTGATCTTTGTCCGACGTGTATCAATGAAGTCGTCGAATTAATTAATATCGTCCTCAATATAATACTCGATGAAGGAATAGTAGCATCTTGTGGTGACTTGTGTGGATTCGTTGCCAATAGAACTGGCTCAAAAATTCTTGGTGATATTTGTGATTTAGCATGTGATGCTTTTGGTATTGATGAATTTGTCAAATTAATTATCAAAGCTGATATTGATCCTGTTTATTATTGTCAACTTGTTGATATGTGTCCAAGTAAGAAAAATCTATTTTAAGAATTATTTTTCATAGATTTGAAGAATTGTCGGTATAGTTAATGATCATGGTGATGCTAAATTTACAAATTTTGGTGTTCTACCACAGACTGCTCCTCAAGGAACCACATTTGTACTTGATCTTTCTTTTATGACCGTAAACGGAACCGGCACTGGAACATTTACCTTCAATATTATTAATCCTAAAAATGAATCATCCGGAAATTTATATTGGTTTGAAGCGAAAAAACCTGGCACATATATTGAAAAACTTGGTATTAAAACTTATGCTCTTTCGGATTGTGATCCTTCGAAAGGTAAAAATGCTTATTTTTTTGTTACAATCAATTGTCTCATTTCATGTGTCATTTTAACAGGACTTTGTGACGCTTGGCCAGTAGGCACTTACAGAGTTACTGCGCAAATTTGTAATGGAGACTGTGGTTCACTTCATCCTCATACATCTATTTACGATTCAAAAGCGACATCTTTTGTTATTACAAAAAAACAATGAATTTATCATAATATTTTTCTGCTATAATATCTTATAGTTCTTCTATTAAATAAAATTTTCATTTATTCATAAATAATATTTTGTTTGATGCATATATATTATGTCTTATATTTGCGAATTGCCAGATTTTTCTTTGTTGCAAATAATGAAAGAGAAGTTTTCAAAAGCTACATTGTGTCAAGAGTAATTCTAAATTCAAGACTTAATCTATCATATTTGTTGTTCAAGGAAAACAACATATATTGATTGAAAATCATGCCAAAATTGATGGCTATAGATTTATATGGATTAACTACTATCCATTTCAAAATAAAAGGTGAGTCATTGTGAGTCAAATAACTCGGGAACGGAAGTAATTATGGAGCTGCGGTTTTCATCATTAAAAAGCGACTTTTGAGGCACGTAAATCTATGGGAAACTTTTATTGGTCAATAATGAACTAATAGGATGGAAGTCTGGTGAACATTTTAAAGATAGTTTTTGGAACGCTTTTTTCGTTGAATTTTGAGCTTCAATTAAATCATTCGATAGAAAAAATTGTTCTCTTTCGATCTACATAAGACCGAGCTCGATAGTTTGCTCCATTCGGTAGCTATAACCATTTTTCGGAGACTCCCGAAATCGGTCAGGTGATGCGGAATTACCCTTAAAAGCATTACATTATAAGTAATCGACCACACTGAATTCAGTGGTGATGTTTGTTTTTCATTTCAAAGTAACCTGAGATCATTATACAAAAGTTTTCTTAAATCTAGTCTTTGCAGGTGTGGATGGGTGTGAGTGTGGTGTGGTGTGTGGATGGCTGAGTTCGGATGTGCATGTAGGTATGATTATTGTTCTTCATTGTATCTATACCTACAGCCATATTCATACCCACATCCACACCCACACACCCGCACCCACCCACACCCACACCCTTTATCGAAAGTTGCCGTTTGTTTTTGTGATCATTTTACGAAAATCGATTTTAATCAAATTTTTATTGTCTTGTTTTTTTTTTTACATAGGAAGTTTCAATCGATCGACTTTGATTTTCGAAGGATGCTATTTTCACTTTATATTTTCAGATGAGTCATGCGATCTTCGTACGGTTCGTAAAATGAATCATCACTGTCGCAAACAACGGAAGTGCGATAAAAACTAGATTGCATGGGCTGTCACCGCTTCAGTTATATTTTTTTTTCTGTTCTAAACTATTGCATGTAGTGGTGCAAGAATTTTTTTTCTACGCCTCAAGCAAGAGCATAATAGTCAGTTTGCAGTTGGGTAATATTGAAATAGTGTAGACAGGTAAATAAGCACAACTTCCTTTTTTTGTTGTTGTATTGCTGCTTTTTCGTCTGCGGACTGACTCAATCATCGTTCTTCAGTAAAGATGCATGTTTCGTATTGTATTGCCGTTTTCGTAAGGGTAGTAGAATCACTTTTCTCCATATTATGCTCATTTTGACTATGAATTTTAACGATCAGTTATCGTTTATAAAAGTTTTTTTGATAACAATTTCAGTCAAAAATACTAAACTATGTTACATGTATAAAATGAATCCTAATATACTCGTAATCTCTACTTCAGTAGAATTTTGAAATATTACTTACGACATACCAAAAGTAATGTCGTCATTATCTTATTTTCATATAGAAAGCTTGAAGAAATTTTCTTTTTTTTGATGTAGTGATAGAGAAAATGACTCTCTATTTTTCTCTCCTATTTGATTACTCTTGAACTAACATAATAATAACAATATTTTGATAAGAGCTGTTTTTCTGTAAAATGTGACGGTTGTAAAATAATGCTATTTGAAAAAACGGCCGAGTAAGTATTTTTTTGAATAACTTTTCATAGGAACGAGATAGAGAACTGCGATTTTCACCATTCGAAATAAGAGATGAAGATGCATCGCATTGTGTGCTTTAGATTGTTTCCATCTGATCCTTTTTAAGGTTTTCAATCGACCTCTTGGAAAATAAATCTACTTCTCGAGGTGTGTACCGAATTTTAAATTGTAAATTGTGCATTTAAACCGTCAATAGAACATCTACAAAACTGCATAAGGTGACATGTTTGCTTCTGCTGTTTGCTTTTTAGCAAAAAACTTTTTTTTTTTGGAAACTTAGGAAATTGACTAAACAAACTTCAGACAACATATTTGGAAAACCCATAATATACAACTCGATGCATCTTCATCTCTTCTTTCGAACAGTGAACATCTCAGTTCTCTATCTAGCTTCTATGAAAATTTATTCAAAAAAAATACTTACTCGGCCTTTTTCAAATAGCAAAATTTAAAACCGTCATATTTTACAGAAAAACAGCTCTTATCAAAATTTTACTATTATGATGTTAGTTCATGAGTGATCAAATAAGACAGAAAAATAGAGAGTCGTTTTCTCTATCACTGCATTAAAAAAGACATTTTCTTCAAGCTTTCTATATGGAAATACGAAAATGACGACATTACTTTGGTATGCCGTAAGTAGTAGGTACATGAGACACAAGATTTAAAATTACGACTTTTCACAGTTTTGTATACAATGAAATCGTTTTCGTGAACCGAGGCCTCTATATACCGTTAAACGTCATGATTAATCAATCAATACAAATCAAAATCAGAACCTAGGTTTTTTGACAACACACTTTGCCAAAATCTGACACTTTGGTTTTGAAAAACGCGGAGTCTTATTTCGATAAAAATGCATAGTTTTAACACGAAGCTTTCTGATTAAAACAACGACTTGATTTTTCGACTTAATAAGTAACTGTAGTTGTTTCGATAATGCATTTATGTCATGCAAATAAAATCTGATGGTCTCATTAGATCGAATCATTATGTTAAGATTGATATAAGTAACTATTTAAAGCGTCATTTGAACCGAAAGAAATCCGAATTTAAAAGCTTCATATGATTTTTTGCTTCTTCAAGTGCCTGAGATTAGATATATAAAACTAATAAAAATTAAGAATTAGTTTAAGGGAGTTTTACATGTAGGTTCTCAAGTTGTGACAACTCCTGTAACTGGTCTGTTTCCCAATAATGCGAGTAGACACATTTTTGGCTCTATCATATTCTCATTGAACTAATTTATTCCAAATACAGTTTCATTTAATGGAACTATCTTGATGAAGCATCACGTTACGATCCAGTAGAATTATTGAATTTCATTCATGAGGTAAAGAGTTCAAATCATACGAAAAGCAAAAGAAATGTGAATGATAGAAAGTATCATAGATTTTGATCGCGATATCATCATATCGTGCTGATAATGGAGTTGTGAGCATCATTTCAACTAGTTAACAAGTTGAATAAATATCATAAATCTATAGTTAGAATAGTTAATTCACAAAAAATGAATTGATTTATTTTCAAAAATCGTTGATAATCACAGTTTGAAGACGTCACAAAATTCTGACCATTTTTTAGACTGTTTCAAATCGTCTAAAATGACGACATAGATAAACATGATTATGAACAATTTACAGAATGCCTAATAAACGGCTTGGCCCGTATGGTTAACATTAGCTGGTCAGAAATTAGATTTTTCAAATTGTGATCAGTCACAGTTTTAAGTGAATTTTGTTTTGTTTGCATAGACAAAATTCAAATAGTTGTTTGTTTACTTTCTTATTTTAGAAATTTAAGCCTAGTACATAAGTATGAGCATTAAAAATAATAGGATTCATTTTATTAACTCTTCTTCGCTTCACTTATATCTATGCCAAACATTTTTGTTTCTCATTTTCTTTTTAGTAGATCATTGAATTTATTGTGATACCTTAAAACAACGTCTAGTATCCATTATGACCTTACAGTTCAATAATGATAATAGTCGTTCATCGTTTCCAATGTATTTTGGTCGTCAGACGAAATTTGGTGATGCTGCTTCTACACCATTGAAATTGATTAAATTGCATATTGAACAACAAGTGAATGCCACATTTCCGCTCATACATCAAGTAGCAACAACAATGACATTTAAAAATGATCATAATCGAGTATTAGAAGGAGCTTTGGAATTTACACTACCTGAAAAAGCAACAATTTGTGGATTCGGTGAGTTAAGTAGATAACATGAGTATAGTCAAATCACGATATAAAAGAGTAAACGGTATCGATAGTAAATGAAACATAGAGATAGATATGAACTTCAGTTTTATAATTGAACATGTATAAAATTCGGTATTTTCTCTCATAGGTCTTGATGTTGATGGTGTTATTGTTGATGGTGTTGTTGTTGAAAAAGAAAAAGCTCGTATTACATTCGAAAAAGAAGTTCGAAAAGGCGTCGACCCTGGATTAGTCGAAATGGTTCAAGGAAATTTATTTCGTACAAGAGTTTATCCAATACAAGCTGGAGGTACACGAATAGTACGTGTCATTTATCAAGATCAAGGAAAAGTTGAAAATGATCATTTTCTATTCAATATTCCAATCTACTTTACTACTACTCTAGACAGTTTAGATATTTCATTAATTTGTGCACACACATCAAATCATTCTCAACCACAATTTCTTTCAAATGTTAAATTTCAACAGCCTTTTATCAATTCCCATGGAAAATATTGTTCTGAACTTCATCTAGTCAATGTTAAACCATTGGAAGGTGAACAGTCCATTACATACATGTTAAAAAATTTAACACCAGAACAAGCCATTTCCAGTGTAGAAATTGATTCTGATGATCGTAGTCAAGCCTATTTTGCTCTATGCTATATGCCATCATTCCAGCAATACAATACAATGATAGATAATAATGAAAAAGCAATGTCCATTTGCTTACTATGGGATGCAAGTTTAAGTCGAGCCAATGTTGAAAATCGTAATCATGAAATAAATATTCTCAAGAATATATTAAACATTTGGCAATCCAATGGTATCAATGTAAATATAACTGTAATTGTATTTAGAAATATACTCGAAGAACCGAACACATTTCAACTACATGATAAAGATTATTGGTCAAAACTTAGTCAATTTTTAAATGATCTGTCATATGATGGTGCA